TGGACAAGCTCTTGCTATACGAAGTTGATTTCATGATGACAATTTTGTTTTATTTTTCCTTTTGCAGGTTTGAGCAGTATGTTGATTATGCTCTTGATGTTCCAATGTATTTTGTGTATCGGAAAAAGAAGTATATTGACTGTACTGGAATGTCATTCCGGGTTTCTATCTATCCTTAATAGTCTTGTAATTTATGGCCTCTGATATTTGCACCAGCTTTTCAGGAATATCATGGGATGATAAGGTGTACTAATTTCTCAAGAAGTAATGGTCATTCTATAATTTTGCAGGACTTTTTGGCTGGAAGACTTCCATGCATTCCTGGTGAATTGCCTACTCTTAATGACTGGGAAAACCATTTGACAACAATATTTCCCGAGGTTAAATTATTTTCATTTTGGTTCTTTTGCTAAAGATACTGTGTTCTGATCCTGACTCATTCAAAGCATATTGCTTACTCATCTCATTCAGGTCAGGTTGAAGAGATACTTAGAGATGAGGGGTGCTGATGGAGGGCCATGGAGGAGGTTATGTGCATTGCCAGCATTTTGGGTAGTTGGCCCCTTTGATCCTTTTTGTTTTTTCCCATTTTTTGGTTGCATGATTTGTATATTTCTGATGTGACTCTAGCGGAATTTTTAGATGGAATGAACATTGCTATAAAGAATTGGATAGAATCCTCAAACAGTTACAGTAGCAAGGACGTGTAACTTGAAGATATCAATCTTGTACCCATAGCATGTTTCATTGCTTTGTCATCTTGTAGTTTGGCACTGTTTTCAACAGTTCGGTATTCTTCATAATTGAATAGAGGATGTTTCCCCATTTAAACAATATCAGCTCATGTTGATATTCTTTTGTTTTTTTCCAAATGTTTTAGATGGAATGATCATTGCTATAAAGAATATGATAGAATACTAGAACAGTTACAGTAGCAAGGATGTGTAACTTGAAGATATCAATCTTGTACCCATAGCATGTTTCATTGCTTTTGTCATCTTGTAGTTTGGCACTGTTTTCATGTTGATATTTTTTTTTCAAATGTCAGGTAGGGCTGTTATACGATGAAGACTCACTTCAAAGTATTCTAGACATGACAGCTGACTGGACTTCTGAAGAAAGACAAATGTTAAGGAATAAGGTAACACACTTTTACAATCTATACTAAGTCAATCTCCTTTCAAGTCATAAAATGCCTAAAACAAGATTCACAGAAGTGATTTTTTGAGTTAAGTCATACTTGTACTAGCTGTTATGTTTTCTTTTAAGATGTCACGCTGTAAACTGAATATAGGCAAAAGACCATTACCCTGTGGAGTCCAAGTGTAAAAAAAAAGTCTTGGGTGGTTTGTGTTTCCTGTTGGCATTTCTTCTGTTGGGATATGTTTAGGCTGCCATAGAATGTTCCACAATATGGTGATCTAATGGACAACGAAAATCTCAAACTTTTCTGAGGACAATGAAAATTTCTAACTTTGCTGAAAATTTTGTTCATGTTTTCGCAATATCCATGAGGCACGTTCATGAAACCTGACATTGCTAGAGGCATAGGTTTGTGTTTTGATCTGTCATGGCATTGCATATAGATGAGCATATGTGGTATTAATTAGGATAGGTCTTGCGTGCTATTTAATTTTATCCTACCACAGAGTGCAGCCTGCATGTCTTTCGGAGTCATGACAGTGCACCTGATATCATCTTGTTTGTAGGTTCCAAAGACAGGTCTAAAGACGCCATTCCGGGATGGGCTGTTGAGACACGTTGCTGAAGAAGTTCTAAAGCTAGCTAAGGTAACTCACTCCCTCCCCCAATAATGTTAGTTGGTTAAGTCAAACTTCAATATGCTTTTGTTCATGAAGCAGCATATAGCAAAAGATAAAACCTAGGGTTCTTCAAGCCCTAAATTCTGAATATCAATAATCTGAACAATCAATCTTTTATGAAAAATAACACACAATGTTTGTTTAGATAGGAGCTAAAAGTGACCCAAGCAAGGAAACTTAAACCAAATAAAATTTTGTAACCTAACTAGGAAATAAATCCTAAAATAATTAGGAAAATAAAGAAAAATTTTGAACATCTTCTGAGCTGAATCTGGACATGAAAACAAAGCTAGCTGACCTCCTTATAAATCTTGGCTTGGAGACTGCACTTACAAAATTTCAGCCCGATCATAGAAAACTATGCTTGTTTTTATCCAAAGGGTTGTTAGTTGTGTCTGGACTTCTTCTTGGACTTGTACTTATCTCTGGGACGTCCCGAGTCAGTTCAACTTTAGTGAAACGTTGCTCTCAAAACATTCACTTGTTCTTCTTCAGGATGGCTTAGAAAGGAGAGGCTTCAAGGAAGTTGGTTTCTTGAACGCAGTGGCTGAGGTGGCTAGCACAGGTAACTTAGTGATATCTATGTGTTTTTGCATGTTTCCCCAGTACTTAGTTTAAAGTTAACCTGCATAAGTTGTTTCTTGATGGTCATGAATATTAGGTGGCAAGCACAGGTAACTTAGTAATATCTATGTGTTTTTGCATGTTTCCCCAGTACTTAGTTTAAAGTTAACCTGCATAAGTTGTTTCTTGATGGCCACGAATATTAATGATCTTATGGCAGGCATAACACCAGCAGAGCAGCTTTTGGAACTTTACCATGGAAAGTGGGGGCAGTCTATAGATCCTGTATTTGAAGAGCTACTTTACTAAGGTGAATTAGGTTTTTGTAGCACTGCAGCAGTGTCCTGCTATGTAATTCTCTCTCATTACTTTGGGTGTAAGCCTTGTTCATGTTCTGAACTATATTTCCCTACTGTTACTTATAGTTTGTCTTATGCTGAATAAATTTCAATGTAAATCCTTGGTACGAGGAATCTCGTGAAACTCTCATTAATACACCCGGATAGTTTGGAGCGAGTGAATATTTTTTTGACTTCCAGACTAATAACAAACTAATTGTATGCTTTTCACAAGCATTTATGGTTAAGCTGTTCGCCTTGTGTCATGCATCATCATTTTGATCATCCTTGATGAAAATGGTTAGGCCATATGGTTGATCGATTCCAATTTCACAAATTAACCATGTTTTCACTGACCCACAATATGCAAATGGATTGTGAAGGTTGGTGATGGAAATGTGAATAACATCAAGTCTTCAACCTTGTAGTATTCTCGGTTCAAACATTGATGCATGCAAAATAAACTGACAGTGCTCATTTTAAGAATGACGCTGCCTAGCTTCGTCATGCGATAAAAAAGTTTCTGCACTTCAGATACTGTCCCGCATTTCCCCAGCTGTAGATCCTTCAACGCCATGCTCTTCTAGGAGGTGATTAATTCATGGTCATTTTCTTAACCAGGGTTTCCATTCTGTATCGCTGAAATCTTCCGTGACATTGCTGTGTCTCAGGTCACCTCTAATGACCGGACCATGTGGCTGCCCACAGGTACCATGTGCTCCCGATATCCACTAGAGATACCCCACCACGTTAGCATTTTATAGGGTAGCTATCCATGCAATTGTTTTGTTTACTTTCTCCTGTTTTTTAGCTTCCTCTTTATCATATACTTAGATAATTACTTAATGGTATATGCATTTTATCTGTTCGGTGTATGCAACCAAGGCAGAGATTTGGAGGGGGTTATGTCAAGGGCACCTGATTAGATTGAGGGGTGTGAGATTGCTGTGGAGGGAACAGGCCAAACATAACAGGGCGATAATTTAGATGGGGACCGCTCGTTAGCCCTACCACTCTTGATTAGGTGTTGAATGACTCGAGAACGATGCTATAACAGTAGAGTTTTTAGAAGCACTTCTCTGAACATTATCAAATCTTATCTCATGTAAGCTATCGTTTTCCCTATCAATTAGCCTGCAAGTGGAAGTGAGATCTATTAAGCTAATTTGCATGTCTATCACGTCTTTAGGTTTGATGGATTGTATACAAAGCCAGTGGGGGGACATTTACTAATTCACATTTTTTTCTTTTCGCTCATTGTGGTTTTTCCCCTAACCCTTTGCAATGATCTTTGTGTGTTTGTGCATGTGTTTGATAATTTTAAATGCAGTCCAAGCACAGCAACAAACAGGTTGTAGATAGCATCCACATATGATCTCATTGGAAATCATATATCATATTATAGGAGAGGAGGGCTGAGCATAGGATTCCAGCATCAAGAAGCCAGCTAGCCCTCGAGGAGGGGTTCGGAGGAGGGCCAGAAAGAATACTTGTTCAAGAAGAGACAGATTGATGACAGGGAAGCCTCATTCCCTACAATAATTGAAGCTTCTTAGCCCTCACTCCTCTGTGAAACCACTTTAGGTTCTATATCACCAATCAGGCACCTAATTTGATCTTAAATCACCAATGAGATCTTAATCCCTTGTGGTCTAACCACCTTGTTTGTCCGAAGTTCCAACATTACCAAACTACCCTCCCTCGTGTGTTTATCATGTCATTTCTCTTCGAGTGATCAAGTTGTCTGAAAAAATCTCTAAAAATGGACAGGTTTGTGTTGGCCATAGACATTGAACCCCATCTGGAGATGGACTTTGTACAAGGCCTGCCTAGACAATGAGTGATGAGTTAATTTAAGTTAATCAATTTTTTAAAAAAATATTAAAAATAATATTATTTAAAAAAATAAAATTAATTAAATTTTTAACTGGATGAACTAACTACTGGATTGATTTGCTAGGTTAATTATGTTAAATCAAGTTAAATTACACCTGACTTTTAGAGAGAGAGAGAGAGAGAGAGAGGGCAGTTTTGGAAAGTTAATTGACAGATAGAAAATCAAACTGGGAGTGGGGTTGAAGGAAGCCTATAATGCAACTTGTTATTTCCTCGTCGAATCCAGCTCACAACTCATTGTTGGAGTTATTGACATGTTCCCCTCCTAACATGGACACACACACACGATATCATTAAATATTTTCTCAATAATCCTCGCTTTCTGATTGGCAAAAATAATATCAAAGTCACCCTCTTAAAATCCTATCCTTCCTTGCACCTACAAAAGCCCTTCACCTCTCCATTCTCCATCGCTCTCCTCTACTCTTGTTCTCTACATTTCCCTTCTTAACATTACCATTGTTAATTATTAATCCAGATGAGAGAAATCCTCCATATTCAAGCTGGTCAGTGCGGTAACCAGATTGGTGGCAAGTTCTGGGAGGTTGTGTGTGATGAACATGGGATTGATTCAACAGGGAATTACACTGGCAACTCTCACGTTCAACTTGAGAGGGTCAATGTTTACTACAATGAGGCTAGTGGTGGCCGCTATGTGCCTAGGGCTGTCCTAATGGACCTTGAGCCAGGGACCATGGACAGCTTGAGGACTGGTCCCTATGGGAAAATCTTTAGGCCTGACAATTTTGTTTTCGGCCGAAATGGAGCTGGAAATAACTGGGCCAAGGGACATTACACTGAAGGAGCCGAGCTGATTGATTCTGTTCTCGATGTTGTTCGAAAAGAGGCTGAGAATTGTGATTGCTTACAAGGTATAACTTCCACATCCTCGCATTTGTAGGTAAAATTGTGTTCAGTTTAGTCCATGTAATCATTTCTTGGCACATTAACTTTGGTTTCTTGAATTAATTATTGGTGATGTGATCAGGCTTCCAAATCTGTCATTCTTTGGGAGGTGGAACTGGATCAGGAATGGGGACTCTGCTTATATCAAAGATCAGGGAAGAATACCCCGATAGGATGATGTTAACTTTCTCAGTATTTCCCTCTCCTAAGGTTTCTGATACAGTGGTTGAGCCTTACAATGCCACCCTCTCTGTACACCAACTGGTTGAAAATGCTGATGAGTGCATGGTCCTTGACAACGAAGCTCTCTACGATATCTGCTTTCGTACTCTCAAGCTCACCAATCCAAGCTGTAAGTCTACGCCCCAATTGTGCTCTGATATAACATATTGTTGAGACTCTAATATCAATGTATGCGTATGTGTTACAGTTGGTGACCTTAACCATCTTATCTCAACAACCATGAGTGGAGTGACATGTTGCCTTCGATTCCCTGGTCAATTGAACTCCGATCTTCGAAAGCTGGCCGTGAACCTAATCCCCTTCCCGCGTCTCCATTTCTTCATGGTTGGTTTTGCACCATTAACATCCCGCGGCTCGCAACAGTACCGAGCCTTAACCATCCCTGAGCTGACACAACAAATGTGGGATACTAAAAACATGATGTGTGCAGCTGACCCTCGGCATGGTAGGTACTTAACTGCCTCAGCTATGTTCCGAGGCAAAATGAGTACCAAGGAAGTTGATGAACAAATGATAAATGTGCAAAACAAGAACTCATCATATTTTGTTGAGTGGATTCCTAATAATGTAAAGTCAAGTGTTTGTGACATTCCACCAACTGGGCTAGCAATGTCATCAACATTCATGGGAAATTCCACCTCTATTCAGGAAATGTTTAGACGTGTTTCGGAACAATTTACAGTCATGTTTAGGAGAAAGGCATTTTTGCATTGGTACACTGGGGAAGGAATGGATGAAATGGAGTTTACTGAGGCGGAAAGTAACATGAATGATTTGGTTTCTGAGTATCAACAATATCAAGATGCCGCTGCGGATAACGACGAGGAGTATGATGAAGAAGAGACAATGGAGAACTAAAAGGCTATTTGATCAGGTTGTTGTTTGGCAATGGTTATGGCTGTAATAAGGATGTTTTCTTTTCTTTTCTTTTTTAACGGAGTTAATTTATGTTTATTGTTCTGGTGGTCAATCATGAGGTCATGTTTGAATAATTGTGATATTGTGAATATTACTTTGTATAATTGTTGAGTAAAAAATTGTATTGTTGCTTCTTCTTCTTCTTTAATATGGATTGGTTATCATTTGCTATTAGTAATTTTTATTTATATAATATTACTATTATCGAAATCATCTTTTCAAAAAATCTCAACTCTAATAATAATAATTTGAGGAGAAATTTTAAATATAATCATTATTTCATTCTCTTTAAAATTTAAAAAATACATAGAAATCATTAATTTTCAAATGAAAGACGTATTCATGTATAATTTTATAATGATATTATAAGTTTATTTCATGTTGCGGTTGAATTGTTTTTATTATTTTAATATGATATTAAAATAAAAAATTATTTTAATATATTTTTTTTATAAAAACAGTTTGAATCTTAATCTCTATTGTAATCTAAACAGACACGAAGGGCCGTCTACTCTTCAAGGGAAAAATTAAAGCAAATATTAAAGTTAAATATTAGTATTAAATTACAACAGCACCTTGGGTTCATAGCTCAGTGGTAGAGCATTTGACTGCAGATCAAGAGGTCACCGGTTCGAACCCGGTTGGGCCCTCTTTTAGTATTCCTGACATTTTCTTTTTCTAAGCTTCCTTTGCATCGGTTTTATCTCTCTCAACAGATGAACAATTATCAGACCACTTTAACCCAAATTCACCCCATACACACAGGAGGAGGTGAGCCCGGGAGAAGGTCGGCTCCCGAGTCACCAACTTTTCTTATGGCCAATCAGGGTTCCTAGTCTGCTATTCTTTTTTGGGCCACGGATAACTAGTCTGGTGTTAACCCGACCGGGCTATTGCAATGTGATACACCTCCTCCTCCTCCCATGACACAACGAGGAAAACACGGGCGGGGAAGATGACGGCTAATGTTTTCATGGCGCAAAAGTTCTTTCAATATTATTAAAAAGGGAGACACCAGTCTCAAATAACCAAAAAAAATAAAAACGTCGGCATCAAGAGTGACTTTTCGTCGAGCAGCAAAATTAATGTTGAAACTAATAATGTCATATTAGATCAGCTAAGATTTCAAGGGCCGGTGCTGAAATTAAAGGGGACAAGTGGACATGGAATCGAGGTTAGGCTGATGACGAGAATGGTGTTTATCAAGCATTGACGCTGTTGCTTCATGCACATTTGACATATTAATTTTTTTATTTCTTAAAATTTATTTTTAAAATCAATATATCAAATCAATTTATCTAAAAAAACAAGTGAATGATGCTATCCTCTGCTGCTCATTTGACAGACTTTTATTACTGCTCCTGGGAATTTTGCAGGGCTTCGTGACCAATTCAAATACTCTACCTGCACCAAAAATGCAAGCTTGCGCTTGCACTTGCACAACGAAAATCCCACCGACACAATAAAAAGACATGGCTGAAAAGCAAAAATATTTGATTAAAAAACTTAACATAAATGAACACCAATACCACCTCTGCTTATGCAGCCACAACCAATGACACTGTACATAAATTACATGGATTGCCATAACATTTTCTATTCACCCTCCAAAAGCAATTTGAAACAGCAGTTGATTCCCTCTACAAACATGTAATCTGTCTCAAGAATGTCTTAATTATTCCTCAAGATTTCTGTATTGGAAATGGTCAGCAGCAGAAGCAAGAGTATCCTTCATATCTGCATGAGTGACTAATATGGCAAACACCCAGCAAACTGACCAAACCTAACCCATCAAATAATGTTCCAAAATAATTCTTCAAGATGACAACCAATCAAAGCATGCAGAAGATTGAGGCAATTTACAGCCATTTTTTTTTGCTGTGAGGTCAAAACTCAAACAAGCCCTGGATCGTCCCGACTTGAAATTAAGCTTGTGTTCACCATTGGTGTTCGACTTAAGGAAAAGAAGAGATTTACTTTGACCCTTGTCCTTGTACTATCAGGCATTTGTGCTCCTTTTATTTTCTAGAGTTGATCCCTCTTTTAGAGCCGCTTGTGCTTCGTTCTCCCTTCCCAGCACAAAAAGAGCTACTGCTTGTAAATAAGATGCAATATGCCAAATAGGGGATATTGCCTGGGCTTGCAGTGCATCATTTAGGGCCTCCTGGGGCAAGTTGGTCATGAGGTAGGATAGACTTCGGCGTGCATGAACGGTTGGGGAAACCATGTTTCCAACATCAATGAACTGCAAATTGATAAACTGTGAGCCCAATTTGGAAATTTTGATGATAACCAATAAAACAATTTGGAACATTTGATTGGATACAGATATACATTAACCCTACAAAAGAATCCTAACATTAAGATCTCATTGTTCTGTAATAAAAGACTTCTTTTCTAATTTACAATTAAATTCGCTGACACCCCCTATACTTGTTTTCTCCACTTTAATAAAATCACTTATTTAATTCACTTCAACCAATCTCAAAGGTTATTAAGAAAAAACAGAAACAAATTAACCTGGGAATAGAATTCAGTGGCAGCTATAAAATCTTTGTGCTGGAAAGCAACGTCTCCCTTCTTCGTATTTAATGTTTCCTGCTTCTGGTTGGTCCGCATCTGGAATGAGACAGATCATAGGAAGCAATGTTACAGCTGAACCAGTCACGCACATGTAAGACATCAATGACATGCATCAAATAAAGGAGATGAAAACACAGCATGAGTACACTCGGTGGGAGTAAAGAATCAAATAAGTTTTCCCTAGCATCACATAAAACCAATAGGGAAAAGGTGGCAAAAAATATACAAACATGAGCACACAAATGCATAGACACTAAATAAATAAATGCTAATGGGGAAGCTGTGAGCATCAAGCCAATAACAAGAACCAATCAAGAAATATCAAGACCCAGTACATCCTTGTAACATTGCCATGCTAAAATCAGAAGTATTCAAATGTTACGGTCAAAATGATGCTAGTGTAGCAAAACCTTGAAGAAGCTAAAATGATTTGTCAATTTCTTAATTTTTAATTCCATGGATTTAGCATAGCAAAAGTGAAAATCAATATTTTCCTTGGCAGAACTATAGGAAAAACCATGATGTGACACAACAAAAACCAGAATCTTTGATAAATGCCCAGATGATTGCATTAATAGCATTCCACTGTTCCATTTTACTATATCAGAAACAAACCTCAGTAGCTGTACCCTTGTCATCTTCATACCCAAGCTTTTCTAAAATCTCATATATGGCAGTCAAATCAATTCTTAAACAAGCCTCGCCAAGTGGTGAAAGAGGTAATGCTGCAGCACCATCTTGTATCCCCATCAATTCATGAGAAGGAACCTGCAAAACAGTTTACTAAATAATTCCTTTGAAGCATAGAGTGATTCAAACCTTTTAATTCTCACCAGGAAGACAAAAGCGTATGGCCTCTTATAGTTTGTAAAATTTCCATGAGATCAGCACCAAAACTCAAAGCAATAGGTCAGAAAACAGACGTTCCAAAAAAAGTGTTAATAGGAACACCAAAGCAAATCTGAAAAGAACTGCTTGTTTTGACCAAATACCATATTTCCAGATATCAGGTCATGTAATTGAATACTCATTTATGACTAAGAAATTTGCTCATTTTATTTTATTTTTAATTGCTTTGAGTAAAATGAAGTTGCTGTATGTGGTAGGATTTGTTTGAGAAACTCAAGGGCTTAAAAAGAATAAATTCCCAGATACTTGAGAGTAAGTGAATAGCAACCAACCTCGGTATCCTTCTGAAGAGGAATCAAAGCAGCAACTAAAGACTTTGAATTTGGTCGCTCCCGGGGCTCATATTGTAAACAATGTGAAGCTAACTGCACCAACTCAGTTCCATCATCATTTGTAAACTGGCCTTCCAAGCAAGAATCTGTCAGCATTTGAATATTTCTGTCCCTTATTAAGTCCAGTGCCTGAAATAAGTTTTGAACCAAAATATTAGATGCCATTTATGTGATATTCCAATTGTTGTAATGGATAAAGAAAACACAGTTAAAATAAATTTTACTTTATTGTTCAAATATTTCAGGAATGTACGGAAATCTATTAAGAAAAAAAAAATGAATGACAGAATAACTATGTCTAGTCGCTACAGCCACAGCTTTTATCCCAGGAAACGTCCCAGATTATCTTGTGATTCCAGTGAGAAGATGGAGCTTTTGGGATGCACAGCATAATAAATGAAGAAATTTACAATAAAACTCACTAGCAGATGCTTGATATTTCAGTATCAAAATAATCCTATTGAGGATGGAACTTACATGGCTGGGAGGAATATGTTTCCCACTAAGAAGGTCCAACAAAAGGGTGCCAAAGCTATAAATTACACTTTCTGGTGTTACCCTTCCTACAGAATGAATGAGTAATTTAAGTTATAAAGGAGATAAAATAATCAAGAAACCATGATCATGATAGCTGATTAGGCAAATATTCAACTAGCATAAATCATGTTAAGAACTTTAATAGGATTAAATTGAAACAACAATTCCACATGCCATGAGTACAAAGATCAGGGTGAAGGTTAGATGAGCAACAACATTTTGCTTGTTTCAGAGAATTAGATACCCGTCCTCAGATACTCAGGAGGAGTAAATGCCAAGTTTGTACTGTAACTTTTTCCATCTCTCCTGTTCTTCATCAGGCCAAAGCATGAAAGTCTAGGGTTGCCCTCCTAATAAATAGAATGATAAGATGAACAAGAACTCTGTTAAATCCTAACATTGATACGGAACACATTAAAAGATAATGACATACTTACATCATCAAAGACAATTCTATACGCATTCAGATCATGGTACAGAGCACGTCCCTTGCTGGTACAATATTCTAGAGCTTGCGCAAGATGTAGAGCCACTCTAAGTCGCATTGCCCATTTCATTGGTTGTGTTTCCCCTGAAGAAACCATCGAGCCAGTATTGATTTGTAAGGGGAAAAAAAAAGAGAAATTAAACAACAAGGCTGCTCCCTGGTATTGTTGATAGGTGTATTAATTCCAAACACACAGCTAGGAGCTCAAGAAACAGTAATGGTGACAAAAACAAGAGCAAATCTTTTGCGTTGCAAAATCTGTAACAGTAGAAAAATTACTGTTTGTAACCAGGAATAATGATATACCAGAAAGGTGCTGCGTTTCCTCCATAATCTACTACATGCACACACAAAGAGACATAAATTTCCAATAATAGGTATACTAATTGCAAAATATGAAAGGACAAATAATGCGAGCTTGAAAATAGAAGAAAGAAGCTGACAATATCCACTAGATGCTAAAGCAAATGAAAGGGCACCAGAGACAGACTTACAATGGAATAAGTGTTTGGCTAATGTATCATTGGGCATAAACTCTGCAACAAGTAACCTCTCATCCCCTTCACCACAACAGCCAAGTAAATTTGCCAACCTATGGTTCCGGAGCTGACCGACAGCTCTTGCTTCTTCCTAAATTCATAGAACATTGCAGTTAAGGGACAGCATTATCATGCTAGTGGCAGTTGTATACAGTAGATGGAAAAGGCATGACTTCTGCGAACATGGTATTTGGTAAAGAGAAACAATATGCTTCACTTACCAAAAACTGCCTGGCATCAGGCCAAGCTGATCTATTAAACCGTTTCACAGCAACCCTCCTCTGATTCTCAAGCTTCCCCTTATAAACCACATTTGGAGCCTTTTCCCCATGTTCAGAAACTATATTTTCTACAGAAAACCCTGATGTCGCCATCCTTAGGGTTTCGATGTTGTATTCACGAAATGCAGGCAAATCGTCAAGTTCACTCTTCTCTTCATTAACTACAAAGACCGAACAAAACAATCATCAAAATGACACCAAATAAATAAACTAACAAGAACCACCCATTTCACTTACCCTCATTGCTGTCCTCGGGAACTGATCCATTATAGCCAGAGCTCCAACAACACTTAGTAAGCTTTGAACACTTGCAGCCCATCCCAAAACCACAATTTGAAAGCAAAGGACTAATTAAATCAAATCTTCAAGGCCCAATTTTTCTCTAGCTCAAACATTCCATTATCTTCAGTAGACTTAGCCTTTCTTCAAATTTTACAATATCTCAATGGCAATCGTATCGTGTGTATATATATATATATACATAAAAAATAAAAACTGCAATCCTCACTGCAATAAGAATAGAAAAATTTGCCCTCAAATACTTCTTTTTAGAAGGACCCAATTAACCGATGGCAATAACAGTACTATTCAAACATTTGATTCTACAACAACCCAAAGCTACAAAAATCAAAATAAGAATCTTGTATTGTCACATCATCAGTTCTCTAAATAAATATATAAAAAGAGCAAATCCTAATACTTATAAAAAAAACATCATTTTCTTCAACCACAAACTCTTCTTTTCCCTATGAATCTAAACTCCCACAAAAGTTATGCAAAAAGGAAAGCAAAAAAGAGCGATTTCTAGATGCTGATTTATTTCTTTTTCCTATGCTATCTGAACAACCAAACAAAGGAAATCATCAAAAAAAAGAGGAAAGAAAAACCCTTTAGTACACCAACAATCAAGCCAACAAAACTTCACCTCTCACTTACTCACCCTCTCTATCCCTGCATCAGCTAAGGTGGTTCACTTTATTACAAAAAAAAAAAATCAAACCCACAAAACCACACAAAAAACACAAGAAAGAGAACAAAAGAGAGTGTCTTGAACCTGAATAGAGGGAAGTGAAGAGAAGACTTGAGCTTTAACAAATTTTAAGAGAAAACAAAACAAGATGGGGGTCTTTTTATTACAAGGTTTATGTGTGTTTTTTGTAGTTTGTGTTTGGCAATGCAAGAAAATAGATGGAACTTAGCTTTTTGTGAAGTTGGGTTTTAATGTTTTTTTGAGTTTCTGAATCCGAGAGAGATCCTTCAGTTAGTTCCTTTCTTTCTTTCTTTCTTTCTTTCTATGCAAGAGAATAAGAATTTTGAGGGCTTTGAGATTTGGATTAATATATCAAATTTTTATTTAAGACAACTACATGCTTAGTTTAGTATATATTTATAGGGAGAGGGAAGGGGGGGTATAGAGATATGTGTGAAAGCCTGAGAGGTTTCTCTGTCTTTGCTGGGTGTTTTTGGATGTGTTATTGTCTTGTCTTGTTTTTATTATCTATGTATATTTTTTTTTCTTAATTTCCACCGACATGGCACTCACTTTTCTCATTTTTCTACGAGCAAGCTCCCATTATCGATCTGCCCACCTGTACTGTTTAATTGGATCAGCTACAGGAGATCATCTATTCAGATTTTGGAAATAATAAACTTGTAAGAAATTCACAAGGTTTTGTTGAGAGAAATCACTTTTAACTATGGTTCCTTGCACACTCTCTAACATGTTGGGTTGTTAAGTTGCTAGGTTACGGAAAAAGAGAGACAGAGAAATACCAGTTTTGGGGGGGGAATAGTTTCTGTTTCCCATCAACTATAAAAGGGGGACTTGTCTCAAAACATCACTAACATGGACCTTGAACAAAAGAGATACGGCCATTCCTTTTTTTGTTATCCTTTTGTTTTTTTGTTTTTATCGTTTGTTTGATGATTCATTTATGATATGTAATTACTATAATTGTTATAACTTTTTTTAGTGGAGGGGTGTTTGTGATGGTTTTAATATCTGTTTTTTTAATTTTTTTTAAAAAATATATCAAAATAATTATTTTTATTTTTTAAAATTTATTTTTAATATCCGTATATCAAAACAATTTAAAAATATCAAAAAAATTATTTAAAAAATTTCTAATCTTTAAAAACTCTAATTGAAATGTAGGGTAGATACCCCTAAATCCCGTAATAAATTCAATTCAATTGATAATCTATTATATTTTATATGTTTTGAATAGAATATTAAACTATATAATTAAATTTAATTACTCTCTTTAGTATATATGTGAAAATGAATTAAATTAAACAATTTTTATATAAAATATAAGACCCTTATATTTATTTAAAATGACATAAATTATAAATGTTTTAAATAAGATATAAATAAATATATCTCATATAATTGTTTATTAAACATTTATTGAAAAAAAATAAAAAATATATATATTTGCACCCTTTCACCCATCCATGCATTACTAAAAAAAAAAAAACTCATCATCCACACATAATTGGCTGAAAAAAACCAAAAAAGAAGGAAAGATTCCAGCAAAAACAAAAGAAAGAAAAGAGGAAGGGAGAGATTAATAACATACTTCATGATAACAATGGATAGATGACAATTAGAGAAATTAGTGATATTGTACTCCCAAGGATTTTCTGAAAGAAAAGAGAGAGGTTTATACCAGAGACAAAGAATAATAGAGTTTATGTTACCATGTAAGTATTTTTTATAAAAAAATAAATTCACAGGAAATTATTTTAGCAAATAAGATGGTATCTCATCTTATTCACCTTCAAACCTCTTTTTATAAACTTATTTATAAAATGAATTCCATTTGAAACTCAATCTAATATCTTAAAAGAGTTACAAATGTAAGAATTTATTTAACTCTTAATTGAATTCAATTCATGGAAGAAGTATACTACATGTATCCCGGCTAATGTTGCTAAATGCGGTTTTCTGAACTAATAACTAGGTTGCTTGTGCTTGTCAACGAAATGAGTTAATCATGGAGAAAAACTTAATGATCATCATCCTAAATGTGTCATCTCCTCTCTATGAATCCATAGCAAATGGCAAAGCTTTCATAATCACTGCAGCAGCAGATGGGGTCCAAATTATCAGATTGCCATGATTGAAGAAACAAGAGGGCTCTGTATTCTGGACTTCCTCATGGATGCTATTCAAATATAGCACCACTTTTGAGCCCTGGTTTTGTCCTTTAATTTTTAAATTGAACTCCAAATACTAAAATTGCTTCTTACAGTAATTTTAGGTGTCGTCGTCATCCGAGCTTCGAGAATTATCAGCAATGGTACAAGAGATAAAGATGGGCAGTAACGAGCACACATGTATAATTGAAGCAACATGAATACTTCACTTCGCACTGGGGGTGCTTCATGGTGTATGTGTCCTCAATATTTATACATGTGAAAGTCATTTACACCAGTAGGAGGTCTAGAAATGGAACATTCTAAAGTGGATATTTAACTCTTTAGGTTGCTTTGGGAGTCAATAATGCTTCCGCAGCCAACTTTTCTTTATAAAAGTAAGGTATTGATATAAGAATAGTATTGATCATACCCCAAAGACTTTCCAAGATCAATTTTCAAACCTTTCAGCCATTGAATCTATATAAGTTATCCATTATTTAATAAATGGGATTTTTTTAAAATAATTTTAAAAAGAAGATGGATGCACCAGAGAGGGGGTGGGGGGGTGGGGGGTGGGTTGCTTACCTCAACTTAATTGTAAATGCATTTGCCATGAGATTACTTACCCGATTAATCACAGATGTTGACAGGGAGGTGGATCCCTGCCTAAATTGTTCAATTTTCATTTTATTAAAGCATTGAGTACCGACAAACATGTTCATGAGAAAGCTTTTTCCCAAATCACCCTTGATTAAGGATTTGGATTAGGACAGCATCATCCTAATTCCGAGAAACTCATGGGGCTAGACTTTAACGTGTTTTTAAAAAATTTAAATTTTTTTATTAAAAATATTTTTTTATATTTTTAAATCATTTTAATAGGTTAATACTAAAAATAATTTTTAAAAATATAAAAACATTATTTTAATATATTTATAAATTAAAAACACTTTCAACCGTCACCCATAATCCCAAACAAAAATTAAATTCCATCAACACAAACCCAAACCATAAAAATAATGGATTTAGATTAGGCTAGTTAAAGTTACTAAATTGAAAATTGATGATTCGAACTCAAATTTTTATTTTTTTTCAGAGATTCACCACCCTCAAACCCACTCCATCATCATGGGATCGGGTTAGTTTAGCGCGGGCCATCACATTGGCGGCTTTGGCTAAGGCTAGGTGGTGGGGGAGCTCATCTTCCCCCATTGCAATATATCTAAATTTTATGGCGGAGTCAACTCGTGCTTACCAACTATTTACAAGGTTGATGTTGAGTGTTTAACGCTAACATGACCTTTTTATTACCATGAAACTCATGGAACGGTGTTGAAGCATGCTCATGTCGGAGTTTAACCCATCTAAATGTCTTATTTCACAATTAACAATACCATCATTCACTACTAGAGGTTATTGTTTCATGCAACAATCTCTAAAATAAATTGTATAGTCTATTCGCATCATCGCCCTTAATTTCATCCAAGTTGACGTGATTCATAAGTATAATAGAACACTAAGTAAGTTTTTAAGCTCATTTTACTCACAAACATACATAGAAGAATTATCATTTTTATTTATTAATTTTTATACAGAGTTTTCAAGACAACATTCTCAATATATCTAAGCTAAATTTAGCATAAGAGGTTCCTAAACTATGTAAAAAACTTGTTTTGCCAAGAGATCATGGATCGCCGATCAAGTTATTCGTCTTCAACCCCAAGCTTATAAACCAGTTGTGAAAGGTTCAAAATCCTTCGTTTTCTTAAGACTTCACCAACTACAAAGAAGAAATACTAAAATCCAGTAGCATAAAATTATTGACCCATAACAACGAAATATCTAGCTGTTTAATGTGGATAATATTTGAGTTGAAGTGATTCTAGCTTTGTTTGATATTGTATTTCAAAAATATTTTAAAAAAAATTAAAAAAAAAGTTATTTTGTTTTAAATTAATATATTTTTAATATTTTTAAATTATTTTGATATACTATATCAAAAACTATTTTAAAAAAAATAAAAAAATATTATATTATTATATTTTAAAATAAAAAATACTTTAAAAAAATAATTTCAATTAAACTACCAAACACACACATCTCATCCCCGTGACTATATGCTTTTCTTTTGCAAGTCAATGCAGCATTTTTAATTGGGGTAGATAATTCAAGAATGCGTTATATAAAATATATATTCACTTTGACCAAAAAATTATTAACAAATGTCATTACACGGTTTTTTTTTTTTTTTTTTACTTGACATTATCAACTTCGTAAAGGCCAAGCAAAAGCATCCTATCAAAGGCCAGGCACATAAAAGCATCCTATCAAAGCCGCTTAAGATGAATGGAATCTTGGGTAAAATGAAACCTTTTAAAATACTTAAGAAATATTTTATTATTAGTTTTTATAAATATCTAATAAATGAGGTGTTGAGTAATCTTCATTTTATATTTGGAGTTTTTTTTCAAGTAAAGATAATTTTCATTTTATAAAGTATAATTTATAAATATATCTTATTTATTTTTAAAACTTTTTATTAAATAGTTGTCTTGTACCATTACAGTAGTAGCCCTTATTATAAGACAACAATGCACCCTATCCACCTTATCTTTGTTCGGGTGCTGCATTAAAAAACAAAAAAAAAACAAAAACAAATTATTTATCCATCAAAGTATAGCTGTATAAAACAAATTTAATTAGATCAAATTAATTAATATCAAGAAATATTTAAAAATATAATAACTGTTATTTTTTAAAATACTTTTTATTTATTAATATGTTAAAATAATCTAAATATATAAAAAAAATTTAATTTTTTTAGAAATACAGTTGGGAATTCAATTCCAAAGGGCTCCTAAGTCAGAATCTAGCTAGATGTTGATTTTGAAAAATAAAGAAATAAACAATTTTTTTAAAATGGAATTTGGACTTGGATGGTTCTTTTGTTAAAATGTTCTACGACCTAACCAGTAATGAGAATATTTAATGGGTAAATTCATTGATATAAGAGGGTTGGTTTGTGATTCGGTAACTCAAGATATTAATCATATAAAATCTCATTAAATAATATTTTTGTAAAACTCTTTTGGAAACTATATTGCAAGCAGTTGATATCAAATAAGTATATGGAGTCATAAGTTTGTTGAAACACCTGGAAAACCTAAAACATCACAAGCCTTTCTGGACCAATCTTTTCGCAAGACTGAGAATCTTGCTTGGCACGAACAGGACACACTGATAATCATTAGTTAATCAAACATGAAGGGAATTGACTCTGAAAACAAGATCAAGCCAATCTCAGGAACCCTAATTAAGATGCTTTAACCTCCCACGAG